ATGAATTTAGCATAATCTACGGAAATTGTGAACGACTGACTTTGAGAATCGTAATTAGTTGTGCCCATGTAAATTGATTGTGATCAAAATCCCTTCCGATTCTTTTTTAGCAACTTCTAGCACGTTTTCTTTGTATGACCAAGCTCATGGTAGCAGTATCACATGTCACGCCTCAACTGACACCCCTTAAGGGTCGGCCGAGGTTTAACAGAGGTGGACAAATCGACTAGATTAAATTTTCACCAACACTAATCCTGACTTGCAGCATCAGGACCCAGTGAACGATAAACTAGTCTAACTAAATCATAGTAAACATACTTTATAAATTTCATTTCATAATTCATTCATATTCACATATACTTGTAAGCGTGAAAATTATATTTATTAGAACAGTTATATCTATACAAAGGTGCTAAATCTAATACAAATAAAAATCTCACCTAAGAGAATCTACAAGCTCCCAAAACTATAAAAGCAAATATTGTACATGTCACATCTAACTAATCGTCTCGGTTCTCTCTACCCCTTTCTATAAGTCATGTGGAATGAGCAATAATGAATTCAATGAAATAATCAAGATTAAAATAAGATTTTATATACGAAAGAGAGACAACATGCATGCTCGTATGTTTGTACATATCTACACAATAGTCCTAACATGCTAGAATTATATAACACGTGTAAAAGAAAAGCAGGTAGTGTAAAAAAATCATGACTATCATATAAAACATATATGTCATTCATTCATGTGTAGTCATTAACAAGTAATCATAAGCATGTTCATAAGAATCATAAATGTATTTATAACAATCATTTGTAAATGTATAGGTCTCAACTATTTCTATATCCTATCATATCATGGGTCGTCACTCTACCCCAAATGTCATATTCATTATTAAAAAAGATTGAGTCCCTCCAGCATAACAATTATTAATAGACCCCTGGTACCAACTATTTCCTACATTCTATCACAGTCAAATCACAATGGTTCCCATAATTTCATCGCCGCAACCACCAGGAGTAGGGAATACCACATTCATGCATAGTGCACTTGCAAGCACTCATGTAATAGTCTACTCATAACATTACCTATGATATTTAAATTATCATTCTTTCATTAAGCATTCATCAAAGCATTTCAAATATCATGCATGAATTATAACAAAGGAACACCTGCAAGCAATGATTTCATATGCACAATCATCTGTATCATAGCATAGCATCACATATATCGTAAGAGAAGCCAGCTTACATCCATACATTCAATGCAGATATCCATTCACAATATGCAAAAAATTCTAAATGCATCAATATCAAACGTGAAATCAGAAGAAATCTATAAATAATTATTTTTTTCTTAAGTTAGCACGAGATTATTTTATCTGACTAGACAAAACAGCCCTACGACGAGTTCCCACAAGCTCTTCTCGAGCTCGTTGTCATATAAAAAACCTGAAAATTTGTAGACATCGTAGGAATTCATAAAATTTGAGCTCATATAATGATTTACCTCAAAATTTAACTTATTTGTCAAAACATATCTCAAACGGGCTTCTCAGCATAAATCTGTCCTCCAGATATTTTTCTTCCTTCTTGATCCTATCACCTCAATCGTCACTTCCCCTTCCTAAAATCGTGCTAATATCTCTTACAAAAGCTCAAAAACCAAATTCGATGCTTCCGACTCAAGTTGGACACTTCCAACTCAAATTGGTCCCTTGCTAAGACTATTGGAAAAGAATAATGCACAAAATCAATAGAAAAAAGAAAAACAATGTCTAGAATCTCGCTAAAGTGAGTTTTGTACATTTCGTTTTCCCACCGAATCCCTAAACAGTAGCTTGTGCCATTCGAGAGTCGCGGGTCGGCTAGTTTGCGACTCTGCTATAGGAGCCAATCACATATCTCACGGTAAGGAGGAATCGAGAGAAGTGGCATTTAAATCACCTCCCCCCTACTCTCAGCTGTCTGATCCCATCAAGCCATCGCATGCACAACTGTGTGTGGTTGTGTCGATTGGCTACAGTGCATATGAGGGATTACGGAAGGATTAATTAAGGTTTAATTAAGATAGTTATACTTGTAACTTTAGAGTTTTTAGACCTCCCAAACCATAAAAAATTAATATATAGTGTTTTATATCAAATTGAACTCTTTAATGTGTAAAATTTTATAAAATTACTTCAGTCAAATACTGAGAGGAGTGAAATTTAAAGTGCTTTTAAAATTTGTTAAACTTTACTTTGTTTCTCAAATTTTGGGTGTTACAACACACTATCCTCGAGCCTTGATGATGTGGGTCGTACCTACTGCAGGAGTCCCGAACCAGACCACTAGGACTCTTGCAGCGGGAATTTTGGATTGGCAAGCTTCTTCCTTCCTCTAGATTGGATGTCCGGTTGAAGCAAGCACCTCTAGGAGCTAGCCGACACTACTTCTCACGGGATTTGCACTGAACTAATGTGGGAGTGAATGCTTTGTTACCCTAGGTATATACATGTTTTCGTCGTGACTAAGCTAGTTTTTTTGTGTATTTTTGTTCAGAAAAGCTTTCGGCTTCCGGTGTTTCTTTGTTAAGGTTGTATACAAAGGCGAGAAGATGCTCCGACTGTAACTCACCCGAGTTGGTGGCCGTCTCCCAAGACTTAAATGGTGCTTCGACTGCTTGGTTTGATCCCGTGGGGACATTTATTCTCGATTTTCCTTCTCCCGTAACCTTTCTTTTGCCTTTGCCCTCACGGATTTGTTGTCGCCAGTGAATAACAACCCCTTTACTATTTTTCTTGCAGCCTGCAATTCCCTGCCACCTCCTTTCCCCTCCCCTTACCTTCCCAACCTTCCTTACAACCGCACCAACCTGCCGCTACCCTTTTCAAACTCCCTCACAGCCACCTAACCTGTTGTCTAGCCTTCAAACATCCCTGCAACCCCGATTTCCCTTGCTTTCACCACCTTTCCACCTCCCTTCATGCTTTCCCACTGCTGTTCAACCGCAGGTTAACTTTCCCCTAGTTGTCGCTCAACCCCTCAACAACCCATAAATCTCAATTTCCCCCTCCTTGAACCGCAGCCACCACTTTTTAACCTTGCCCTAGTGGGGTATTTGTCTTTGTGTAGCTTTTCCTATTTCAGTTGATTTTTTTGTGACCGTCTATTTGACTTTCAACAATAATATCAGTCTCATTGTGGTTTGGGTTGACCCTGGTATCACTTGATTTCTGGAATTTGGAATTTCACTTCCATAATTATCCAAATACTGAGGTTTTTTTTATGTTTGTATTTTTTTGGCTAGCAAGAGCACTAGTTTGTACGAATAAAGAGAATTTGTAATAGTACATAGCACACTAATATAGGCTTTCCTCAGAGTGGTAACACCAGTGTCAGATAGGATCTGTGATTTAACACCTTCATATTGAGAATTGAGGCTAGCTAGAACACTCATAAATCATATTAACCATTTATTCTTTGAGCCTACTTAATCTAAACATTAGTATTAAAGGTCAATAGTGCATTCAATTCTTCATAAACACACTTAAAGTATATATGATATGTGTTAAACAATAGACCTTGTTGTTCAGCTCGATAGAACTCATTGCATACATCAAAGATTTGAGAAATATTTTCTCTCCCAGAAAATACAAATGCCACTTCCTCCATCGCATCTTTAACACAATCATAATGAGCAATATGACATGATTGATCAAGTTCGATAGAGTTTCGTATTTATATCAACAATTAGGCATCAAATCTCTTCCACTCATAAAAATTTGAATCAGTCGTAGCTGGGGAAATGTCAATGAGAATATGCTCCTTCCAAAAACTTCTCGAGTAGAGCCTCTCAACTTTTTTTTAATAAGAATAATTAACGGTCATCTGTAATTTTAACCTTTGATGAAACCAAACTTGTCACATGTTTTTATTCCACAGTCCCATATATTTAAGGAGACGAATCAATGCCGAAAGGAACGAGGTAGAGGAAGGCCAGAAACTAACGATACCAAGCTGTATAAGTCAACCAACTCCACGAACAGTGAGGCCGACAAGGCCAAAAAAATCGAACGGAGTAGCCGAAGACATCGACTTAAGCAGACAAAACCGAACAAAGCTGATCAGGATGAAGCCAAAGCAGACCGTAGCAGAATGACGCAAACAACGCTGATAAATGCAGACCAAACAGACAAAGACAATGACGCAGATGAAGCCTAACAATGCACAATGCCCTAATCCTGTCGCAAGATGAAGGCGATGTAGATAGAGCCAACGAGTGATTCAGACGAGACAGACAAGCCATCCAGACGCAAGATTCAGATGACACAGACGCACACGACGCCAACAAATGAATGAGCCATCCAGACGAGGAAGACGAATGATCCAGACACGTGATTTAGCCGACGCAGACGATGTCGGTGAATGATTCCAACGACTCGGATGATTCTCTGATACCATGTGACTGGAAAAAATCCTTCCTTTTTATTCCTTAGTTGAAAACATATATGAAATATTTATATACACCACCATCTCTACAAATTAGAAATATTTCTAATATAAAAAAGAATTTATAATTAGATCACCTCTAATTAAATATCTAATATTAAGCTTTCTAATATACAATCATTAAATTTAATACTTCAAATAACAAATATGATCTCCTACTTTCTATCCTATTCTTCCTCAAATGATGTGATTGTATCTTGACGGAGAACACATGATGGTCCTCCGTCATCTTAGAAGCTGCATCTATTGTCTTACATGATTCTATAATTTTTCCTTGATCCTTATACACCATCTGAGAGCTCTAGATTGGTATCATCCATGTCCTTTAAGACATCAATGCAATTCATGAATAAAAATCAACCTAGATAGAATATTCAGAAATAAGCTTCTATGCATGCATGGAATTAAACAAAAAAATTTGACTCGCTACAAAAGATAAATGAAAGAGTTTTGCGCCTAAACCAAAATCTAAAAACAATACAATCACCAGAAGTAGCACAGAATACCTTGAAGGAAAGGAATTCTTGTTTCTGAATGAGAGGCTACACACTGCGAGGCAAAGCAAACAGAGGAAATTATCAATATCAGTAGCTGATGTGCCTCGCTATCTTGTTTGCAAGCTATTTTATGAAAAAAAATTCATTAAGACATAATCAATTAAATAAAAAACACCGAAAAAGCATGCTATGAAATAAAAGCATGGAGTGAAATCCAACAAAACCCAAACAAAATGACTAAAAAATAGAGCATTTTGTCAAAATAATAATTTTTTTGGATTTTGATGCTTTTGATTGTATTCCATGAGAAAAGAATCGTAATTTTACAATAAAACACTCTCTAAATGTAATGTCGGTGATTTTTAGAGTATATTTTATAATTATTTCACATGTTGAAGTTTGGCTTCTTACCAGGCCAAGCACAAGCTCTTAAGAAAATTAATAAACATAGTGATCCCAACTGCTTTTAATCAACATTCTAAACCTTTGATGTTCCTTTTATGAGATGAAAATAAAGACTCAATAAGGTTGATAGCAACACTTAATCAGAAATTGCTTATAAGCAATTGGCAGAATTCTACAAAATACTAAGAACATTGAAAGAAGAAATGATATTTTCAGAAATTATAAATCATGTTCTTTTTTGCATTTCTTAACATCAAACTCATATGAATCAAAACCAGGTAAACATGACCGATGAAGAATTGAGTGAAATAAGCAAATGCATTTTTAATTAAAAAAAAAAAAAGAAAATAGAAGGAAGAAAACAATCACATAAGCATAAAAAAGAGAGACGCTCGAGCAAAATAAATATATCAATTGTCAGAAAGGAGCAGCGATAATCAATTTTAATGGATGGCCCAAAGTATTAAAACATGACACAAATCAACACAGCATGTTCATCACACAAAATAGCACAGAATGGTGATAGAGTAACAAGTAAACCTGAAAAAGAGCAAGCACGTTGCAAACACGAACCGCTGAAGCTGTTTCTAGAACAGGTGGTGAAAGATATCGGTATATCGAAACTATTTCCTGCAAGTAATAGAAGTGAACTTTGAAAGTCAGAATAGTCGGATGATATGTAATCATGTTTCAGCAAAACAAAGAAATGACCATTTCCTTGTGAGAGATTTTTTGTAATGTCAAAAACAATGCGGGAATAATGTAAACAAATGAATCTCCCATTATAACAGGTCAACCTATTTAACAAGAATATGATAAGCATTGGTTCAGGTTGAGGCCAAGAAAATGTTTTAATTATAGAATGTATAAAATGAAGTAGTCTAGACCACGATATATGATTCACGTGACCAAATTAAATGTGATGACAATGGTGGGAGAAAATGCAATTTGTAAGAAATGAATTTAGAAGGTCCAATTTTCATGAAAAGAATGTTCATTTGTCACCAACTTAATTAAATGGATTGTCTCGTGACATGGGAGCTACTTGCTACAGTGCAGTGCCTATTCAGCGATATGCCGCAATCCCGCAATCATGTGGGCTTCCGTTTTCCTGCCTAGGCCAAACCGGTCCAGGTTTTTTCGTTATGGTGGAGTCGACTAGCTATCCTTGGTCATTCCTCACTATTCTATTATTATATATTTGCTTTTCTAATATTCTAGGTTTTGTTATTGGCGTGAGTTTGTTTAAGACAGTCATCGGCATCCGTTTTCACTCTTTGAGGGTTATATATTAGGGATGGGTGGTGTTCCGACTGTATCTCTCACCCGATGTGTTGATTATCTTCCTTATCTCTTTCTGCATTCTCCCTGCCTCGCTCTCAGCCGCCCTCCCTTGTTGCAGTCGCATATTGTTGTTTTCCTTGCAATTAAGCCACTGGTCCACGCTGCTGACTGGAAAACAGCCATTTCCTGTTATTTTTTGTTGTTCCGGCCTCCCAGCCATCTGTTCCTCTCATTCCAACTTGTCAGGACGGTCTTCGACATCCATTTTCAACCTTTGAGGGTTATATCTGAGAAATTGAGTGGTGCTCCAACTGTATCTCTCACCCGATGTGTTGATTATTTTCCCTCTCTTTCTACATCCTCCTCGAGTCACTCTCGGCCGCCCTCCCTTGCTGCAGTTGCATATTGTTGTTTTCCCTGCAATTACTCAATTCAAGCCACCAGTACACACTGCCGACTGGAAAACAACCATTTCCTATTATTTTCTGTTGTTCAAGCCTCCCATCCATCTGCTCCTCTCATTCCAAATCGTTTTCGTTGTCGTAATTCCTCCCCTTCCTTGCTGCCATTCTCTTTCATTGTTGTCGCAGTCCAGAATAGCACTTCTCCTGTTGTTTGGCCACCATCCAGTCTCTCGTCCTTGCTATCACCGCCCAGGACAGCCCACCTTCTCGTTGTTCCGACGGTTTTTTTTTTCTTAACCTCTTCTTGATTGTCACCATTACCGCCTTGCTGTCGTCCTACCTTCCAACCCATCCACTGACCTTTGCTACCTCTCCAGAGGTTCAAACCCTCGTAGATCACCCACCGCCAACCCCGAGGTCCACCCTAATTTAAGTTAGTGTTGTCATTTGTCGTGATTTCAAATTTTCATGTGCCATGTTGCTGTTATTTTCTATTTCAGTTGGTTGTTTGTAGCTTTCCATTTGAATTTCAGTTGTAATATTATTGTTTCGCTGTTATTTAGTTTAACTCCAGTGTCATTTGTTATCAGAGCTAGTCTAACCCTAGAGCTAATAGTGTTGGGATTGAAGCATGTGATTGAAGATAGAGACAAAGGCGGAGACAGAGGGCTCGAGGGAAGAAGAGAATCCAATGGCATAGCGTATGGCTCTCGCAAAGCACACATTGAGGAGTAAGGCGTTCGTGGGAGTTTAAGGCTTTAGAGAAGCCCGGTCTCAAAGAGTAGTGAGGTTAGAATTATTCTTTTATCTTGAAATTTTAATTGAAAATTTAAAAGTGAGAAATGGTTATATATATAAGATTAATTTAAACATAATAATAATCATAAAAGAAATTAATAGTTAAGTCATATATTTTAATAAAAATTATAAGATTAATAAATAAATTTAAGGAATTTCAAATCATGATTGAAATGATATAATTAATAAAGGGTAACTAAGCATAATTAAAACAGGAGAAAGTAACTATTTTCCTGTCAAGTAAATTAAAATAAATAATTTATAGTATTAAGATAAAATAAAGAATTAAATAAGCTTTCATGTTTAAAAGAACAATTACAAAGAAATTTAGATACAATAATAAAAATAATGATAATAATAATAAATTACTTTCAATGAGATTATAATTTGACACAATTGATGGTTATTGCATAATAATAGTTATTGTACCAATACATGCAGATGAAAAAAATTTATTAGTATTGATGTAACTTAATTGATACAGTTTTTAGATGATACTCCTGTAACGATTGTATATATAAAGATTTAGATATGTAATTGATATAATAAAACATATAGAATGCCTTAAATCATCAAAACCATTTTAAAAAACTAAACCATCAAATGCTTCATGTTGATTTATTAGATGTTTGATTAATATGCATTTTATCTTTCTTTTCATTGTTCTACAGTAATTTTAAAATATGAGTATTCATTGGCTGTTGTAGCTTATTTTGTTTTAAATTTATATTTCATGTTTAATCGTTTAATTAGAAAATGAGTATTAGAGAAGAATATTTATAGAAGACGTGGACAACTTGAACTAAGGTAAATTTAAATATTTTAATTTATTTTTATTTTTAATAGTGGTTATTTCATTTATTCTTGTATTATTATATATTAGTTATGGAAAATGAAAATTTTAAAAAAAATGATTATCAATGTTTGACAATTATTCCTGTCTTGGAAAATTTCATACCCCATGCCAAGTCATGACCGGCGGAAACGAACTTACATAGAAAACATAGTGATAGCCAAAAATTCAAGCTCTATATAAATATGAATGAGAGAAAGTGAATAAAGAGAAATAAGAATGTTATCATTAATAGTATCAGGACCAATAATAACAACATTTGTTTGGGTGGTGGGGGTTGTATCTCACGTTCGAATAACAGATAAAGGCAAAATTTTCCCATCTTAGACCCTGTTTCGGTAATTATCCCACCCAATAGGATAGGCGGGCTATGCAAACCCCTAATTTTAAAATTTTTTTTAATTACAATTAGGGTAGTAGTTTATGTATAAATATAAATGTGTCAACATATTTATTATTATTATCGCTTTGCTTGGATTCTATAACATTAGAGATTATTTCTCTGAATCCCTTCAAGGGAGAGTTGTATCATTTTCCTATTCAAGTGTTATGCTTGTAGTTTGATAAGTAATAGATGTTGGATCTTCCTCGACATCTATATCTTATCGAAAATGCTGCCAGGTGGTGTTCCCTGCAGTCCTCCCTGCTGTACAGCAGCTAGTCCATATTCCCATCTCCAATCCTCGATGCTTTCTTCATATTCCTCTCTTCTCCTCATTCTACAGCATTCCTAATGCAAGAATCAATCTTCCTACACCTTCAGCAAACCCTAGAACATATTGAAGTAGCAATTGAGCTTCCTTCAATCTAAGGAGAATTTTCATGTCAATTTTATGAAACAACAACAAGCCTTCATCCCACTAAGTGGCAGCTACATGAATCCTTTTCCTTCATTGAGATCTATTGAGTTTCATAGTTTCATTTAATTCTAATAGATTAAGATCATTTTTTATACAATATGCCCAAGTATTTTTAGGTTAATCTCTGCCTTTCTTAACATAAGTCAAAATTAAAACTACTCTCCTAACTGAATCATCAGATGGTCGATGTTTAATATGACCAAACCATCTAAGATGACTCTCTAATCTTGTCAAACATATAAGACAAATGATTTAAGTCAATAATAACATGTATTTTCACTACCATTCCAAAATAAGGTGAACTCAATTTATTATTTGTAGTTTTAAATATAAAATCTCACAGTTCTACTCATGGATGATGCAAACAATGCCCAAAACATAATCTATAAACTCATAATCATTGAATCGAACTTGAACTTAAATAAGCAAGTGGAATCAAGAGATTCATGAAGCCAAAAGACAGTTTAAGATGTTAACCTAATGATAAAAACATTATAATTGGATGCATGTTTCTGATTTAGAGTATAACCAAAAAAGATATTACTCGAACAAACCTCCAAAAGTTTTCCAATTGTGCCAAAAGAATTCCACAATAATGGAGCTAGATCTTGAAATATCTCTCTTCTCTGAATAAACAAGAATAAGCATACATGCATTTTGAAGATCTTCAATTGAAATTATGCTAAAATGATGAATAAATTAGAAATTAAGAAATGCAGGCTCATGCATACATGTAAAACAATATATCCTATGCTAAAAAATGTTAAGAAATCAACCAAAAGATTACAAAATAAGACTAAAGTCAAAAGAAGCGAATCTCCAATAGTAAGCTGAAGCAATAACACAAGAAATGAAAAAGCACCAGTTATGAGGGTTTTGACAGGAATGCAAGAGGGAAGACCAATTATTTGAAGGAAAATATATTGAATGAATATATGTAAACTAAATCAAGTCTAAATTATTATAAGGAATATTTTATTGAATTTTAGTTTTTCAAGCTGACTAGCAAGCAAGAGTAGTTTTCTTGTACATGCCATGTTCTTGCTTACAAGCAAGAAAACTTGTAAAGGTGAGTGTCGATAAAAAATTTGTTTATGAAGTGACAAAGGCACCTCATTTTATTCATTTGGTAATTGTGATGTTATAGTGTACTATTGGGTAGGGAGAAAAAGTACAGCCAATCACACAATGATAAACAGGTACTCTCAAATTTTTACCCATGCTTTCGCATGTTCCCCTACAAATCAAGCTCTTGATATGTCACATTTTTTATAGATATAGCTGTTGCAAAGATACCAAAAAAATCTTATAACAGTCTTGCATCAGTGCATTTGTCGTGTGATTTCCATAGTTCATGAGCCGGGGAGCTATGAAAAAAGATGGAAGTTTTAGATTTGCAACTTAAAATTTCAGGATCCATCAAACTGAGGCAACTTCATAACTTTCTCCTCTTACTTACCCTTACGATGCCAACACGATGCCATGATCCTTGTTGAGGTAAGATGTAGTAGAATAGAAAGAGAATTATAATAAATATTAAATGATTAACAGATAGAAAGCATAGAGATGAGTGTACAATCTTGCTCTAAGAGCTTGATAACCATCGAGATCTAACTCAGCTTTAGTCTAACATCCCTATCTTTTTCCATATGGATATAAAGTTGAGAACATAAGATAAATATCCTGTTTAAGAGATAAATAGATCCTTTAAGAGGTTTATCTGTGTGTGTTCCTAACTTAATATAAAGTTTAAGGAGAATATGATGAAGAGGAATACAGGTCCTGCACAAGGGATAAGTGTTTTTGTGGTCCTTTGTAAGGCTTATTTTTCTGTGTGGTCCTTTTTAAGGCTTATATAACATACAGGTTATCTCTGTGTTCCTATCTTCTTCCAAAAGGATATAAACGCTAGAGATAACAAAAGGAATAGGAATATTTTGATTAGGGCAAAAGTAGGTCCTTCACAAGGGTTGTATGCATGTGAGTGATACTTAATAAGGGTTATCTATGTGTTTGTGGTTTCCTATGTTTATCCATAATGACAAAAATTTTAGAAAGGGCATGAGGATGAATAGTATGAGTTATCCTATCCTTCTTTCATAACTATATAAAGTTTAAAAAGAATTTGACGAAGATAAATGTACGAGTGTTAAACACGACAATTTGATACTTCACTAAGAAACCAATGTTGCCAATTACAAACTTCAAAACCTGTTGAGAAATTAGGGCGAAGAAAAACAAGAACGACACAAATCCAGAAGAACACAGAGATTTAACGAGGTTCAACAAAGCTGCCTGCATCCTCGGGAGCAGAGCGGCAACCTCTTTTTCAATATTCAGAAAAGAGTACAAAATACAAGATTCAGCCCTCTCAAAGACCTAAAATTACAAACAGGTCTATTTATAATCCTAGAGTAAATCCTACAGTACAATATGTAATTACCAAATTACCCCTGTACCGTATAGCGAGACTTTGATCCAACACCCTCAACCCATATAACGTAACTTCTCGATTTGGACAGATTCTTCCGCTTCGCTCCGCTTCGTTCCAGCATTTTTCTCTATATGGTATATGAGTCATACCATAACAAATCTCCACCTTGGCGAATCTTGGCGAATATCCAAGAAAAGATATCTGGGAGTTACACTTGCACCAATGTGGGTTGGGCCACCATGCTTCTGTTGCGCCCACACTGATCTCAACCCACTAAATTAAAAGAGACACACCTCTTTAATTCCAAGAGATTCCAAATTATGATATTATGAGTCATACCTAACAATTCTCCACCTTGGCGAATATCCAGCCCTTTAGGAGAAAATCTCCACCTTGCGAATATCTAATCCCTTATGAGAAAAATCTCCACCTTGCGAACATTCTGCCTTTTAGGAGAAAATCTACACCTTACGAATATACAACCCCTTAGGAGAAATATCTCCACCTTGCGAACATCCAACCCCTTAGGAGAAAATCTCCACCTTGCAAATATCCAGTCCCTTCAGAGAAAATCTCCACCTTGCGGATATCCAGCCCCTTAGGAGAAATATATCATGGAGTTTCTTATGCACAAATGTGGGTTGAAGCACTTTTCCTGTTCGCACCAGCACCTCGGCTAAACTGTTGTCCCATGAGCGAAACCCTTCGCGAAATAACTCCGCAAAACCACTGTTCGCAAATAATCACGCCTGCTCGCTCTCCAGCACCCTACCGAACTCCACCTGTCGCAATTCCTCCTGCGACAAACTTGTAAACTCCGCTGGTCGAACACCACAAAACTCCTCTGTTCGCAAACGCTCTTGTTCGCGGTAACTGCACACGAACTCCTGTTCGCTAACTCCACCTCGCCTAATGCCGCGAAGGTTCATGAACTGCCGTGCCTCGAAGTCCCGACGCCGTCTCTACCGCGAACTCCCGGAAGCATAACTCGTCGAACTGCCGCAGCCTTTTATCCGAACTGCTCCGCATCTGTTTGTTCCCGCGAGCCCGTATGCCTTGCGAATAATCCGCAAAATTTTATATTTTTCTGCGCTGTAGCTAAGATTTTTTTTCTCCAGCCAAGGAAATTCAGAAAATACTTCCAAATTTTCTTGTTTGCAAGATTCCTTGTTGAGTCATAAATTGTACTTTGATTTTGCTACAAATCTTTTTAAATAATCCCCCTGATGAAATATTAGGCAAAGGAAAAGATTCCTTAATTAAGTTTCCAAGAAAAAGGAAGTTTTCATTAATTAAGTTTTCAAGAAAAAAGAAATTTCCCTTAATTAAGTTTCCAAGAAAAAGGAATTTCCCTTAATTAGGTTTCTAAGAAAAAGGATTTTCCCTTAATTAAATTTTTCTTAATTAAACTTTTCCAGAAATTTTTTTTATTAACTTCCTAGAAGATCTCCTAAAAAAGCTCCGCCTCCGCTTTTCAAAAAAACTCATTTTTCCTTCCAAAAAAGCTTTGTTTTCCTTCTCAAATTCCAGCAGCAAAAGGAAACAAAGGAAATAGCGATCCTTCCAATCCAATCGAGCAGCCTCCAAAGGAAAAGGATCGAACCAGCAAAGGAAACAAATGGGAAGATTCCTTCCAATTTTTCCAAGAGAACCTTCCTTTCACGAATGCGCCGAACCTTCCTTTGCAAAACTTCCTTCCTTTTTAGATCCACGCATAGAAGGAAAGATTCCTTTCCTCCCTTCCGCCCAGCAGCCTTCTGCAAGAACCTTGCCGCCGCCAGTCGCGACTTCTTGCAATTTGTGAATTCTCCTGCTATATCGAAGCTGCGAACTAGCAAACTCTCCTGTTGTACCGCGAACTCGCGAACTCTTCTTCTTCTACTGCTGCTGTACCGATCCCCGTCCTTCCAGCGTCGAGCCGTCCGAACCGCACTGTCGCCCAATTCCCCGAAGCCGATCGCACACCAAGACCTTCTGCCTAACCGCAGTGAAGCCCCCTTCGCGAACTGCTCTGCGGAACTGCCGCAGAGCCCTCCTTCGCGGACGATCTGCTTCCTCGGCGGATGATCTTCCCTGCGCGCCACCGAAATTTTTCTTTTCTGCCCTCGAACTTGACTCTGATACCACTTGTTGAGACCACTTGTTGAGAAATTAGTAGGGCGAAGAAAAATAATAACGACACAAATCCAGAAGAACACAAAGATTTAACGAGGTTCGACAAAGCTGCCTACATCCTCGGGAGCAGAGCGGCAACCTCTTTTTCAATATTCAGAAAAGAGTACAAAAAACAAGATTCAGCTCTCTCAAAGACCTAGAATTACAAACAGGTCTATTTATAATCTTAGAGTAAACCCTACAGTACAATATGTAATTACCAAATTACACATGTACCGTATAGCGGGGCGTTGATCCAACACCCTCAACGTAACTTCTCGATTTAGACAGATTCTTCCGCTTCACTTCGCTCTGCTCCGCTTCGTTCCAGCATTTGTCTCTATATGGTATATGAGTCTATATGAGTCATACCATTAACAAATCTCCATCTTGGTGAATATCCAGCCCCTTAGGAGAAAAGATACCTGGGAGTTACACCTGCACCAATGTGGGTTGGGCCACCATGCTTCTGCTGCGCCCACACTGATCTCAACCCACTAAATTAAAAGAGACACTCATCTTTAATTCCAAGAGACTCCAAATTATGGTATTATGAGCCATACCTAACAAAACCTAACTTTGATATCTTTGATTTTTCTCTCTTTTTTTATTTTTTACTAACTTAAGAAGAGAATTGATTCAATCATTTAGACTGATTCTTCTTAAAGGTATGCATAAAATATTTCTTAAGTTTATGTTCTTTTTTAATTGATTATTAATTTGTAATCATTTTTTCTTGTTAATATTTTGCGTAAAATGCCAAAATCATTTCATCATTATGATTTGTACAAATTTTATTGAATTGTTTATTATTCTGTCATGTTCCCCATAATATGAGTGCCTCTGTTAGTTGACGTGAAAGCTTAGTTAGTGCTTCACAGTATAAAGCAAAAAAAAAAACTTTTCAGTGTGCCTCATTGGCAAGTTGTTCCTATTTTACACACTAGTGCAGATATACCAATATTTCCTTGAACGTGGAATTTTTATTATGGATTGATATGAAACTGTCCTAGCATACAAATTAGGTTGTAATAGCGA